CTAATTTTATTTTTTTTCTGCCCCGGTTTGAGTTTTTGGCAGGAGCCCTCCACACATCTTGCAGATTTTTCCCACCAGCTCTGGCTGAGAAGGTGCTAGTTTGCTTTGTGCTTTTCTGGGATCTGAGCCATCTTTCCATGTAAGCAATCTGAGCTACTGCTTGGGATTGTGCTCTTCTGAGGCCAAGCAGGCCAGGCTAATCTGAACCTCCTCTTCCATAATGGGTCAGCTGCTGCCAGCTTATTCCCACTAGACCCACTCTCACCCTGATGCATTTATTTTGAATACATCTTTCCATCATCAGCTAAATGTAGTGTCTGGAGGAAGTGTAGTTTTTTATGTAATAAATGAATTGTTCCTCTAAATGCATGCAGTTCAGCTGAGCCTCCTCACTTTATCTAACATCATTTGCACTCTTGGATGACTGGCAGGCAGAAAACTATGGAGTGTCTCACCAGATGTTTTCTCAGGCCAATAGACCTGATTTCATAGCAAGAAAAATAATATTTGATTTTATTTGCTTACTGGCTTTCATGTATGTTCCTTTTATGTATGTTCCTTCTTACATGTGTATACATGAAAGTCTATAAATATCAAAGCTCTGTGAATTTCTTTAGTCTGTTTTCTATTGCTTTTCAGTCTATAAGTGACATCTATACATGCTTCTTGCAGTGATGGAGTGTACCCAACATATTGTATGCCTGGTCTTTCTTGGGCTTGCCTTCAAACTTTATTCTTCTGTGTGCTTCCCCTATGAAGCCCAAGCAGGTCATGAAATCCATCTCAACCAGATCATATGTCTGGTGGGGTCATCTCTTTCTGCACTAGTCACTGCAAGCTTTTTTAGTGTCAGGAGAGGCAGAAGATTCTAAGGCTTGAACAATGAGCAGTTTTAGAAGTGTCTTGCCTGTCTAAAAATGAGCCTTGGTGACTAGATCAGACATGGATAACTAACATCAGGGGCTTGAGTCTCTCCCTGTGTTTCCTTCATTTCTTGTTCTTCTCTACTCTCTCCTTAACTGGAATTGAAGCAGACCAATTTTTTAATCTGTTCTGAGAAGCTTTACTTTTCCAGAAAACTTAAAACCGTTTTTTTTTTTTTTTGCTAGCTCTCCTTGTGAAAATAAACAAAGCACTCAAACCAAATTACCCACAACCCTGAACAAGATCTTCCAAGCCAGCCAACATGATGTGTCACCCTGAGAGTTTGTACTGGAGAATTGCAACAGCATTTTCACATGCAATACTGTGTATCTAAAGCTCCTTTCTTTACGGTTCTGTAGTTCTGAATATGTTTCTGGCATGTTGCTTGTGTTTGTGGCACAGAATCTGACACCAGGGATAAAGCTCCTTCTTTAAGGGGCTTGCCAATTTACTTGGAAACAATGCTGGTGTGAAATAAAATGTTGCCACTGTTCTTAGAGTTTGAAGACGAAGCATTCTGCCTGTGGTACATAAAATCCTTATGATTCAGATTTGTGCTGAGCAAAACAAGCAGGAGTTAAGGTCTGACCTGTAGTGAAACAAAGTTGGGTATCACTGGAGCTGCCAACGTCTTTCCTCGCACAGATTGTGTTCTTGGTGAGCTGCAGGGCTGTGTTGGTGGATGTGATATGTTTGGTGCTAGCTATGTTTGCTAGTCCTTGAGTGGGGAGTATCGTGATGCTGTTTGGATAAATATTTGCCATTTACCTTTTTGATGGTACAGCCTTTCCTGTTGTAAGTGATAGGTCTGACTATAGACTCCTGAGTAGAGGAAGAGTCAGATCCACTGTATGCCAATCTTTAGCTGTGTCAAAAGACAAGACCAGCCCAGACAAACGTAAAGACCCATAATGGTCTTAATTTTCCAGTCACCAGTGTAAGTCAAATAACAGAAGGAGGTTGCAGAAGGGCCATACCCTCATAATACCATCCCCATGGTACACTGGAGTCCACCCCTCTTGAACCAATGTGTTGGACTGCTCCAGGAGGTGGAAATGCCAGAGATTACTTGTCACTAAAGAGCCAGAGCAGAGCTTTAAAATGGGAAAATCTTGGCACTATACCTACATAATTTTTTTTCCTTTGCTTAGTATTCAGCCTTAGGACAAATTAATTTATATTGAATTCTGCTGTACTTGCCACTAAACTTGTTGTCTTTTCTAAAGCTTGTCTTCTCCCGTGAAGGGAGATAAACAAAAAGTATATGTATATATTCAATTTTAATGCATACTAGAAACCACTTTATTGTATGTTTTATTTATTTATTCAACACTAACCTTTGCATTTGCATCTGTAAATAATACTACAAAACTGAACTGGGCCAGAGAGGCCTTTTAGGGATTCGTTCTGTCATACAGCTTTAAGACTCAGACATCAGGTTAAAATTTGAAGTGGATGCCCAGAGTAAATAAGTGAATAATAAACAAAAATTATTGAAATGAATAATATCCTCTTTATCTCTTTATCTGAAATCACAAAAAGGCTGCAAGTTCAGTTTAATCCTTCTGACATCAGTCAGTCTGAGCTTTAAAAGAGAAAAGAAAGAAAAAAACACAGACCAGTAGCTGGTCTCTGGTTTTTAACTTGATACAGAGTGGGATGCTCCCTGAAAGAGACACTGGGAGACATGAGTGGTTGAAAGAGATTGTGCTTCATGTCACTGAGCTTTCTGTAGCTACTGCTGTTATGCTTCTGCAGAAGAAAAGGAAATGCCAGGGGCAAAAGATAAGAGAGAATCGAAGGAAATGGCTGTATGTAGTTAATCCTTTCCTCTCATGGTGAGAATGGTTAATCCATTGCAGAATACAATCAGGATGCTAGACCCACTTGGACGCGCTTGTGAGCGTGACTTAACTGGGACTAAGTTGCCTGAAGCCTGGCTAACTTGCACCTGTAGTCAAAACATGCAAAGGATAACCAAGTTGTTTGACACAACTGATGTTGTAGCACTGTAGAATTTTGACTTTGGAGTGTGGATTCTCAGTTATTGTTTGTAAAAACCCATGTGTTCTGAGAATTAGTTATCTTAATATTGATGCTGACTTCATAAGCCTAATCTCGAATTTGGACAAGGAATTTTCCTGGCTCCTTTAATTAAAAAAGACAAGTGATGCTTTGTTGCTTTATTTTATATCTACACAGAATTCCTTTTGGGGCAGAGGACTCTATCATATTTTTTTAGACAATCACCTGAAAAGCAGAGGAAATCTGGCTGTTGTGGACTTGTAGTGCAGTATGTTACCCTATCTAGAGACAGTGCTAAAGAAATATGGCCAAATTAGAATATTCAGATATTTGATCGCCTGAAAAACACGGGGTAGAAAATATTTCTTAATATTTCTTACAAGCTTAGTGGTTTTGGCTGAAGTTTACATAATTGGAACCCTTTTTGACATGAAGATTGAAGGATACCTGCTTCCATATCTTTCCTCCATATGTGTTTTACTGGCAGCTTGAGCTGTTACTGGCCAGACTGGCATTCCTGTTGGCAAAAATGCAAAGGCCTGATTCTTTTGTCTTTATGCATATCAGCTGCATTAGATACTTGATGGAGTCTGAATTTAAGTTTCTGACTTTCTTCTGCTGACTATACAGTGATTTGGTTGTGTAGTTGAGTACAAACATAGCAAGAATTAATTAACTGCCTCAGGCTTTGGACACTGCTCAAACAGCCCTTTCCAATCATCTTTCTAAATTGATCTATGGTCCAGCTCTGATGTGGCTGCTGCCTCTCTGTGGTCAAAGATGCTGCTTGTTCAAGAAATGTTAATATTCAGTGTGAGCACATGTAGTTTATCTTCCCAGTCACTCGTAGCCATCCATCACAGCGGTGCCACAGGACACATCACTAGGTTGTGAACCCTTCCAATCTGAACATGGACCTACCTCCAATTTGCAAATTCAGTTACTCAAATCAAATGCAGTGCAGAATCTTGTGCTCAAATGATATCATTTTCCCATTAAGGACTTAAATTTGACTATTACAAACTTCAAAGTTTTTTCAGTTCCCTTATCTACCTCCTTAGCTGGCAATCAAGCCTTGTTTTGTTAAGCCAGAATATATATCAGATGAAATTTATTTGAAATCCTGATCAAAATGCTGCCTGATATTTAGTTCTCTGTGATCTAGTGGTAAAGCATAGTAGTTATTTCTCAAAGTATATTTTTTCTCTGAAGAACCAAATTTGCTCGTAGTTGGAGAAAAGGAGCTTACATATGTTTTGATTGTGAGAGGGTGCATTGTGGGTAAGAAAATAATTACATGGAGAATGGTGTTTGTGGTATTAAGCAGAATATGTATGAGGCAACATATGTCTGAAACTCAATGTGGAGTTGCATGGAAATTTGGTTACATTTCAGCTGTGTCATTTCTTAACCAGAAAGACTCAAAAAATCATTATATTGAAAGTTTGGCTTCCAAGAAGAGTCATGTCACTATCTTTGGTGTTTAACTAATGAGCAGGTTGATTCTAACTTATCTAAAAATTTAGACCTCGTTCTCAATATTAGAAAATATAAATTAGGAGCAATTTACTTTTCAATACAGAAGAGATCTGATTCATTCCATGAAAACAAGTAATGGCATGACCTTGAGGATAGAGTCACTACCTCATCAGAGTCATGTTGACTAATCTGATTTGTCTCTCATTCTATTTGATACTAGGAACTCACATGTCACCTGCTTCCTATTAAACAAAAAAAGTCAGGAGAACAGCCAGCTTTGTTATATGGCAGTCAAAGTGAATGTGCTGAAAACTGATATTTGGAAGGAGAAAATTGTTTGACAAGGTTTGGGAAGACAACCTGCTTTTGATTCTCTGGAGCCCAGTGTGGTTTAAGAGTAAAGGGAAGACATTAGCCTCCCCTGGCAGTGAGGGTGATTGGTAATTGTATATAGTTATTGTGAATAATCCATTCATGTTCTTTAATCTTAGCTGATTTTAATACTTTATCTAGCAACAGTCTTCCTTCTTTTTCCTCAAAGTTTATTCTTTCTCTCTTTCTCTGTGTTCCAGCTGTACAGCTCAATGGACTTTGGAAGAAAATGGCAGCTCATGCATGAGCGGGTCACTCCAAACAGGTTTTACTGGTGAGTTAAGGCCACTGGCTTGGCTTGCTTTGGGTGGGTCATGGAGGGGAGAAGGGCATCTTACTTGAATGGATTGGTTACTTTATCTGAACATGAAGTATACCCTGGGTTTTGTTCATCATCAGTGCTATAAATTCAGTCCATAGAACACACCTTGCAGTGCAATAGTCTCTGTGTTTGTACTTCTCGTTTGATAAAACGCGGTGTCTTTTACAGAGAAGTACAAGTCTTTTGATAATTGCAGAACTCCTGCTTCTTCATTGTACACCTGCCTAGAGTAACACAGAGGAGCTGCCCAGTGCCTCAGTGACAAACCTGTGACCATTAGACTTCCTATTTTTCAGCCCTTCAGAGAGTTACTTTAGCCTAGAACACAGTCTTTGTGCAGAGCCAGCCACTCTGACCAGTCTCCTTATGCAATCTTGGTGAGAAGGGATGATTCACTCTGCTTTAAATCACTCTCTGAGGAGCCAGTTTTATTATAGTGACTAGTGAAAGCCCAAGATCTGCAGTTTGCTAAAAATCTGCTTTGTGACTCAATTCCTTCTCAATTCCCAAGTGTCAGCCTCTCAAATTGGAAGAGTGTCTTAAAATCAGATGATGAAACAAATTTAGTTCCTATCTCCAGGCTCAGCCATCTCAGATGCATCTTTCCCAAACTTCTCTGCACCATGTGAAGGCTTAAGAATTGACTTTTAGAGAGAAAAAGAAAAGTGTAGTTCTTCTGTAGTTGAATTTAGGATTTGGGGCTCGAATCAGATTCTTAATGCTGTACTTACTATATGCCAGATGATGGGGTGTGTGTGAATGTGTAGAAGTGCTGATTTACAGAATCTGTGCATGGATAAAAAAAGTATCTGGTGCTTAAGACCCAAAAAGATTGTAATATTAAGGAACCAGAGGGTCACATTTTGGATGGTTAAAAATAAAAAGGACTTGGAAAACTTAAAAATTTACTCCCAATTACAAAGCATGATACATATCTATGTCCATATCTGTATATCTTAGAGTCAAATTCTTGTGAAAGTTTTTGCACCTCACTGAAAGCCCCTGGAATCCAGGCACAAAATATCTATAGATTGTGTTTTCAGTATTTCCACACCTTGAAGTGGAGGTAGACTCCTCATTTCAAATTATCTACATTCTTCTGGAAATCTCTCTAAACATCTTTAGACTCCAACATTTAAAGCACTGACCTTTTGGCATCAGGTCTAGAGATTTCCCTTAGTGTCCATGAGGAATCTGGACAGCGTGAGAAAGTTTTGAACACTGAGGAAAGGAAGTTTTAAGGTTCCTAAGTCACACAGACCTGCAAAATATATCAAAGGTCTAGAACTTTGTCTGTCCATGTTACAAACAGACTGACAGACTGGCTTAATTCTTTCAAATACAGAGTTTCTCAAGGGGACCTGTGTTTCCTGCCCCATCAGCTGGACAGCTGTGAATATCCCCTGTCCATCTGTCTTTGGAGGCCCTGCCTATGTTTGCTGAGCAGACATGAGGATCACCATCCTGAGCAGGGGACAGAGGACTATTCCATAATATAGGAAAGGAGGTTGTTTTTCTCTCCTGGTTCTGGTGGCAGGTGGATGATTGACCTAACTATCAAAAATCCTTTGATCTCACTATTCATGCTGGCTGCACATGACAAAGGCGAGTGTAGATCCTCTCCAGGTGTATCCTTCTGTAGAGCAGAATAGCTGGTCCTTGGAATAATTTTAACCTATCCTTCAAATAACACAAGTGAGCTTAGGGGAGAGGCTTTCTTGGAGGATAAGGTGCAAGGGCTAAGCTGACTTGGGAAGAAAAGCAGAACGTTTTTTTAAAGGACAGGTTGTGATGTTGTGACTTATTTTCTGCTTCCATATAATAATGTTTAATGGAAATTGCTTGTTTGTCCACTTGGACCCCAAATGTGTATTGTTTTCCACAGTCTACCCCATTTTTCATTGTCTTTTGCTGCATGGTTTGAACACTGTTTTTAGCAGTGCATTATGTAATGTCTGTGTTTCAGGTGCCTTTTTCTCTTAGGAAATTAACAAGTCTTCTATAGTTAAAACTCGTAAGACATAGACTTAGAAATCTTTATTCCACTCAGAAACAGCAGAGTCCCACAGAGAATAAGCTTCCCAAGAGAGTGAATTAGGTTTTTCCCAGAGTGGGAGGGATTTGAAACAATCCATAGTGCAGGTATAAGAGGTATTGAAATTGTGGAACATAATAACTCTCCTTAGCTGATTTATTTCTCTTTTTCATTTCCTTCTCTTTAAAGCTTCAAACTGTGATGGCTTGCAAGTTCTGGCTTGTAAGATCTTTACAGAAATAAAAATGCAAATAAACATTTTAGCCTCCAAAATTTGTTGATTTTTTTAGTGTGCTACAAAAGAGAGAAGAGTGGATATAGCTGAAAGTTTCAGAGGGACGTGAGCTACTATTCTGTGAAACTCATAGAATCATAAAATAGCACAGATTGGAAAGACCTGAAAAATCATCTAATTCCAACTTCCCTGCCAGGGCCAAGGGCACCTTCCACTAGACCATGTTGCTCAAAGCTCCATCCAGCCTGGTCTTGAGCACTGCCAGAAATGGGACATCTGTGACTCCTCTGGGCAACCTGTTCAATTGCCTCATCAGCTTCACAATAAGGAACTTATTCCCATTATCTATTCTAAACCTACCATCTTTAAATTGAAAGCCACCACTCTTGGCCTATTACTACATGTTCTTGTAAAATCTCCCTCTGTTTAGCTACTGAGAGGTGCTTTAAGTTCTCCTGGGGCCATGAGGTTCACACAGACCCACCTCTCAAGTCTGTCAGTCTCTCTCTGGATGCCCTCCCTTCCCTCTGGTGTGTCAACTGCAGCTCTCAGCTTGCCTGTGGCAAACTTTCCTTTCCATGTCACCAGCCTATCACTGTCCCTGTCATCAGTCGATCAAATACTACATTATTGAACCTCTGAATTAAAACTTCCATGAAAGTTGAAATAGTAATGATAGGGAGTTGCCAAAATGAGAGAAGCTGCTCTTTTGTGCTGCTCTGCATTGTTCATTAGTAGAGGCTCAGGTAAGCATCCTTCATGAAATGGGACAGTTTCCATCTGATTGGAATGCAGCTGGCTTTATCTGGGGCAGGCTTTGCTGAATGTGTTTGCCTTCAAAACATGACTTTCATCTCTCAGGCTGCTTTGAATGGGCTTGTGAAGACTATAAACTTCACCCGGTTCATGTGATCAGTCAACCTGACAAGAAGAGGTCTTATTTTTCTCTCTGAGATCTTTCTGAATAATTATACCTTCCCTGAGAGACCTCACGCATAGAGACCTTGGTGCCAGGAAAGAATCATGATTGCTTCAGAGCTTGTGAGACTGGGATGTGAATTTTGCCTCAGCAGAGTAAGCACAACCTCTCTGCTAGTCACGGACACACAAGTCACACTGTGCATTTTTTGGTGTAGCTCTAGCAAGCAGCATCTGTGATGGCTCTCTGGTCAAAAACAAAGCCCTAAGCTCCAGTCCCAACTTGTGGCATTGTATCCTGGCTCTTGCTTTCAGCTTCTTTCCTTAGTCATAGTTGTTGGTGCTACTCACTGGTTTGTAGTTTTGTGTTCTCATTCATTATGGGTGTCACATGTCCAACTGTTCGTGGGACATTTCTCATGGGTTCCTGAGCCTGCTCAAACTTTGTGCATAAGCTGAGATTCACCCCTGGGCCACTCATAGTTACAAAAAACCCTAGGATTTGAGTTCTCTACTTTGGTAGTAGTGATTCATTTGTTAACTACACCCACTGATGACAGTGGCAGAGCTTGAACAGACTGTGTTAGTTGATGTGTGTACAGGCATCCAGATTTGGCTCCCACGTGCCTTGGCCTCAGATTTTAATAACTTAGGATCCTATAAGACTGGAAATAGCGAGTTTGCGCTAATGTGATGCAGAAATTCCAAGATCAATCAAGATAACTGAAACCAGCATGGGTGCAAAGTTTGTTAAAATCCTACTCAATGTTCTTTTCTTTCAGAACACATTTCTGCAGCTCCCTCTGGGCCCTGTTCATTTTATATCACTATAACTTAGACACCTGTGCTGCCATGTGGAGGATATGAAAAAATAAAGCCCGTATTTTGTACCGTAGAAATGCTGGGGAAGCTTCCTCGCCTGTGAAACACATGGTCTGTTCTGCTGACTAAATACTGTTGCTCTCCTGATTAAGAGTCGTAGGACTTGAATTGTCCTTAAGTATTTTTTTTACTCCCTCTGCCTTTTCCTGCAGCAGCACGATGGGACCAAGCAGGTGGGCAGGATGGGTTGGTTACTGGAGCATCCACCAGGCACGTTGCTGGGCCACAGCTTTCCCCTGTCACCTTGGGTGACTCCAGCTGACTTTGCCTTGTTACCCTGTAGGTGAGACTGGGATGGGAGAGCACCTTGATGACTGTAGTGGGTGAAGTACTCAAATATATAGTAATATGAAGTGCTAGAGCAGTAGATTAAGAGAACTAGAGGGTAAAAGAGAATGAAAAGATGCTTTAGTGGCATATGAAATCCTTTTATCATCTTACGGCTTAATTCTTTCAAATATAGAGTTTCTAAAGGGGACCTGTGTTTTCTGTTCAGTCAGCTTAACAGCTGTGAATATCCTCTGTCCACCTCTCTTTGGTGTCCCTTCCTATGTTTGCTGAGCAGAAATGAGGATCACCATCCCGAGCAGAGGACAACACTATATTCCTTTGGACACCAACACCCTTCCTTAGGGTCTCCCCAGGCTTTTGTTTTTTGGAGAACACATTCCTGTTTCCTGCCTTATGTCATCACTGAGGAATATGAAGTGGTGGACATGGAACCATTTTCCTTGGTGTGGTTTTGTTGGGTTTTTTTTGTTTGTTTGTTTTTTTTTTTTTGGTGGGTTTTTTTTGTTTGTTTTGTTTTTGTGGTTTTGTAGGGTGCTTGGTTTTTTTTTTGCCTGTTACAGCTAGACATTTCCCTTCTTATTTATTTTTTTA